TTTTTTTAACAAAATTTCTATTAAAAACTTCAACCACACTAAATGGGCACTTAGTAACTTTAACTTTCAATTAATACGAATTACCTCTTGTATATTTTCGCATTCAAATTTCACAAATTCCTTAATGTACATATAAAAAAAAATTACAGCTCTTTTAGAAAGAAACAGTAACCAGCACATTTTCGTTTATTAATTAATAATATTATCTAAATTTTACCATCAAAGGCAACAACCATGTATCAGCAGCTATCTGTAAAATTGGAAAAAAGCGTGACACCATCCCACATTTGGCGCTGATTTCATTTTAACCCCTGTCCCCAAATTTAATATTATTATTTTTTACCATAACATTAAAAAAAAAAAAAAAGAAATCTAACAGGAGCATTTCTTCTCCCACATCACATGTCATTCTCTCTGGTTGGTTACTATAGAGAGAAAAGGAGAAGAATCATCCTCATCTCTTCATTTCCCTCCACAGATCTCCAAATTCTCCCCCTCAAGGAACCCTAATTTTCCTTTATCTACAACTTTCTCTTCCCTGATCGAACAATCTCTTCACCGCCGATGATGATGTTTCTAGCAGTTTCATGAATCTTCTTCTCCGCCCTACTCTTTCCGTTCATGGACCAAGGCGGTTTCTACGATGCCTGAGCTGCGTCTCCGCGCACGCAGAAATCGGGCCTCCAACAACCCTTACTCCAACGCGATTGTCGCCGAGCCGGATAACAAGCTCAGTGTTCGCACTCGACAGAGGAGAACTGCACACAAGAGGAAGCAGAAGAAGCCGATCGTTTCCGTTGACGACAAGGAGGTTAACGGGGGCAATAATTTCGTAGATAACGCTGCTGGATTGGAGGCGAAACCGCCTAGAGTACAGGAAGAAGAGGAGAATAACGAGCTTAGGGTTTTGAAGGAGGAAGTTGCCGAGAAAATGGATGAGTACGATAGTGGCGGCCGTAGCGGGGATAAGGGTCCTGGAGCTGAGGATGAAGGAAGCACAGCTCCGCTTCCGGAGAAGGTTTTCCTTTTTACTTTGTTGCCTTCTTTATTTGGAAACTTGTTGATAGTTTTCTGTTTAGATTGCTGAAAAAATGCAGGAAAAGGAAAGAAATATGTGTTTTTTTAATGAGAATGGAAGCTGAGCCATATATCTGGAGTTTAGGTTATTTTTCCTAATTTTTGTTAAGATTGATTCATAGCAGCCTATTAATGTTTTTTTCTATCTTCATCAGTTTTCAACCTTTTCTGCATGGTGTTTTCGATCCTGTTGTATTAGTGGTAACCCAATGTTACATTGCACCTGGATTCTTCCTGGGTTGCTCAATGCATTCTGACATAACGTTTTCAGATTCCATCTTAATTGTTTTGACGCATTTCTAAACAAGCAAAGACATGAAGAGAACTGTACTGTAATATTGTATATGGTGTAATTGAATTTTGACAGTCATGTAACTTTATTTATATGTTTAAACAAATACGTCTCATTCTTTGTTTACCCCGCAACAGGTCCAAGTAGGTGGCTCCCCACTGTACCGGATGGAAAGAAAACTGGGGAAAGGAGGATTTGGGCAAGTTTATGTTGGTAGACGAATTGGCCCTACAGGTTTAAATGAAAGAACTGGTCCAGGACCATTAGAGGTATGGGGTTATTCATAATTTCATATGCAGTTAATTTTGTATTCTATTACTCATTATGCTGGCATTGGCTTAACTGGTCTGTCTAACTTACAGGTAGCCTTAAAATTTGAGCATCGAAGCAGCAAAGGATGTAACTACGGACCACCATATGAGTGGCAAGTGTACAAGTGAGATTGCTATTATTGCCCTGTTTTATGTTTGATTTGTTTGTATTATAAGAGTCTAAATATAACTGTCATCACTCATTTGTGTTTGTGACTTTTAACTTTCTATGCTGTTGCTGCAGTGCACTAGGTGGCAGTCATGGTGTGCCTCGAGTTCATTTCAAGGGCCGGCAAGGTGACTACTATGTCATGGTGTGTATTCATTTTTATGCCTTCACTGAACTTTAAGATGCATCTTATGCTTTGGAATCCTATGAGATATATTAAATATGTGTGCAGGTCATGGATATGCTTGGACCTAGTTTGTGGGATGTTTGGAATAACAACTCACACACGTAAGTACCTTTTGAAGCTGCTAGTGGTTGTACCTTCTGTATGATATATCTGTGGAGAACCATCTAACATTAAATTTTATCCTTTAAAATTTAGGATGTCGATTGAAATGGTTGCATGTATTGCAATTGAGGCAATCTCAATACTGGAGAAGATGCACTCCAAAGGGTAATGCTCTTGTCATCAATTTTGTCTCCTTTGGTCTTCAAAAAGAGGAACTTGGTTGGTTTTCCTGGGACAGGATATAGAACTTTAGCCTGGAGAAATAGTTTAAGATAACTGGTGTGGTTCAATTGATAAATTCAAATAACTATAAGATGAATGGAAGCTGGATGCTCCATTATTCCTATGCTTATGTGTCAGTCATTGGTTCTTGGATGGCGGTCCTTAGCTGGCATTGACTGTTATTATCTTTGAATGATTGGTTCCTGCAAGATTAATCTTGATTCAATGTTAAATTCTTTTTGTTATTGTTATGCATATGATGTTGATGTAGCTGCTTCTATCATTTTGCAGATACGTGCATGGTGACGTGAAACCTGAGAATTTTCTCCTCGGTCCTCCAGGAACTCCTGATGAGAAAAAGCTGTTTCTTGTTGACTTAGGATTAGGTTAGCATTGGATTATAGTTTTTGTTCAGTCTATTTATCGATTAGACTTTTACCAGAAAATTTCATTTTCATTTTCATTTCTGTTTTATTTTTCAGCAACCAAGTGGCGAGATAATTCAACTGGCCAGCATGTTGAGTACGATCAGCGCCCTGATGTTTTCAGGTAAAATTAAATATTTCTATTTGTTCACATGCATGACTGCTGGCCAGTGCAGAGGGGTTTTTTTTTTCTCACTTTTGGTTTAAATTGTGGTTAATCAGCTATTGATCATGGCTGTGCTGCAGGGGAACAGTGCGGTATGCTAGTGTGCACGCTCATCTTGGGAGAACAGGTAGCAGGAGAGATGATTTGGAATCTCTTGCTTACACACTCATTTTTCTCCTCCGTGGCCGACTACCTTGGCAAGGATACCAGGTTTGAAGTTCTGTTATTTTGACCTTATTATGCTTAAACAACATTTTCTGATCATTCTGAATTTCTCATGCACTGTTTTCTGCAGGGAGAAAATAAAGGCTTCCTTGTTTGCAAGAAAAAGATGGCCACTTCCCCTGAAACTTTGTGTTGCTTTTGCCCTACTCCTTTCAGACACTTTGTTGAATATGTGGTGAATTTGAAGTTTGATGAGGAACCCAATTATGCAAAGTATATCTCCCTTTTTGATGGAATAGTTGGCCCAAACCCAGATATTCGACCAATAAATACAGATGGTGCTCTGAAGGTAGTTTTATCATTCTTCTATCTTCCTTTTATGGTTAGTTATTAATACTGAGATCTGTCTTTACCTGAGCTTTGATTGAATTTATACCTTTGTATTATGAAGCTTATATATCAAGTAGGACATAAGAGGGGAAGGTTGACCATGGAGGAGGAAGAAGATGAACAGCCGAAGAAAAAGGTTCGAATGGGGATGCCTGCAACCCAATGGATCAGTGTGTACAATTCCCGAAGGCCTATGAAGCAAAGGTCTGTCCCTTAGGGTACCAAGGATTTTTGAGCTTTTCATGTTCATGACCAAAGGGTCGTACTTGATATTTACCTTTTACTTCTGTAGATATCATTACAATGTGGCTGATATGAGGCTCTCCCAACATATTGAGAAAGGAAATGAAGATGGGCTATTTATCAGCAGCGTGGCTTCTTGTACAAACCTATGGGCCTTAATTATGGATGCTGGCACTGGCTTCACTGCCCAAGTTTATGAACTTTCTCAGTATTTTCTTCACAAGGTTGTGTATTCCAGTTAATTTATTGCAATTCTGCTGTATTGCATATTGCACATGCAATTATGCTTCTGCATTAGACTATATGGTTTTTTATGCATATCAGAAAAAATTGTATTTGCCATAACTTTGACTTGGTTCAAATTTTCAAAAATTTAATGTAATGAATTTTGTTACATCTTTGAAGGAATGGATTATGGAGCAATGGGAAAAGAATTACTACATCAGTGCAATAGCTGGAGCTAATAATGGGAGCTCATTGGTTGTGATGTCAAAGGGTTAGTATTATATTCCTTTGTTTGATAAAAAAACCAAGAGGGTTAGTTAATTTCCATGTAGTAGTTGTGATTTTACCTTTTTGTAACCCTATCTTAAATTCCATTACTTAATGTAGGGACTCAATACCTGCAGCAATCTTATAAAGTTAGTGATTCATTCCCTTTTAAGTGGATCAACAAAAAATGGAGGGAGGGCTTTTATGTGACTGCCATGGCCACCGCTGGAACTAGATGGGCAATTGTTATGTCACGTGGTGCTCCATTTTCTGAGCAGGTTCTTTTTGGTTTTCATTAATCTCTGCTCATGAGACTACATTTTGGTTGTAAAGAAAACATGATGCTACAGTTTCCTTCTGACTATTGCAGGTTGTGGAATTAGATTTTCTCTATCCTAGTGAAGGTATTCATAGGAGGTGGGATGGTGGTTATCGAATCACATCAACTGCAGCAACTTGGGATCAAGCTGCTTTTGTTCTCAGCATTCCGAGAAGAAAGCCAGCAGATGAAACTCAAGAGACTCTTCGAACTTCTGCTTTTCCTAGTAGTCATGTCAAGGTGGTGCACACAGAATAGTGTCTTTGCTTCTTGTGTCCATCCTTGGTTTCTAAAAGTATAAGTTTTAAATGGTGTTTTTTCCCTCTTTTTCTATTTTCCAGGAGAAATGGGCGAAAAATCTTTATATTGCATCAGTCTGTTATGGCCGAACTGTTTCATGAGCTGCCAGAGTTTTGTTTATATGCCAATCATTTTATTTGATCACTTGCTCGTGCAACTGCGGACATCATTACTGCTTCATTTTCAGAACTACCCCCTTAAGTACGATTGACTGACTGCAGCATTTGGGAGTTGATGTATGCAAAATTCTACTTTATTATCACCATCATGTATCACCTATTCAAGCACCTGTGCACTGCCATTCAATTATGGGAAAATGCAAATGAGCTAATGCTTTATGTCCATGCCTATCTGGTGGGGTTGTTCTTACCAGTTTTACAGGTTTTTGTATAGTCTTGAAGAATAGGTTGAAGGCATGTGCACAGGGTATATTTTGATTGTTGATGGTGTTCAAGAAACATGCGATCACAATTATGCATTAGACTCTAGATGCTGAGTCATTCACTCTTTACCATGTCTTACCTTATATTCCAGACTAGAAGATCTCTATGATCTCACATCTCTTAGCTTTCTTGATGTCTGAATTTGACCATAAAGAATGTTACTTATTTTGTGTATCTGAAGTGTGTGTACTTTCTTATAAATTATCCTTTTAAACTCATCTTTATAGAGCTAACACAATGCATGGAGTAGTTGCCCATCTAAATGACATGCGGTTAGTTTGAATATCACTATTCAAAAACATGCCTAACGTTAACACTTTCCACGCAGTGGACAACCCCCCCACTTCCCTTATGATTTTGTTTTCACTAGGTACATTTTTGAGAAAATTTGTTTTCCCAGAAGTTTCTGTTATACTGTAGTGGATGTACTTATGTCTAATTTGTAAATAAGGTTAGATATATGGATGTATTAGTTAGTGATTCTGTAGGAAAGCATGGAGCAAATTGATGGCAGTGATAGTCTCTTAACACCATTCTTCTGTTCTGTAATGGATTCAAATTCAAGTTTTGTTCCTTTAATACTCTAGTACTGTGCTCTGAACTGTAGAGTGGTATTATATTGCTGATTGTTTATAGAAGTTATCCAAGGCTTCAAAATACGGACCTGCTAGGTAATTTTTTGTATTATTGAGGAACACAGACGAAGATCTCAGGAGAAGATGCGCAGCAGTAGAGACCATTTTTATTTGCAGAAGCTTCTTTTGCTATTGGAAAACTCGATGATAAACTCAGTAAGCCCCAGCACTGTTGCTTGGTAACTTAATGCACAGTTTGGAGCCTGTTAAAAGTTGCTTTTTTCATTATGCAGTTTTATGGATTTGATTGCACTTTTTTGTGTTATTGTTGCTCACCTTCTCTCCTTATCTTTCCAGGGATAACTAGAGAATTCAAGTATCTATTCCCGTACCAGTCTCCAGTTTCTTTGCATCTATGTTGGTATGCAGATGGTTTCTGCCTCGTGTTTCTTCTAGTTTCATATGCAATTTCTTGATTCATCTTATGCCTGGGCATTCTAACCCTTTTTCAGGCATAGGAAACATAAACCCTGAGCATTTCTGGACACCACATGTGACAATTGTCTATGCAAACATGTTTTGACTAGATTTTACAGACCATAGTGGTGCCATCTGAGAAAGCAGTCATTGCATAAGTGATGGTAATGGTACGTAACCATAGTTATCTTTGTTTAATAAGGGATGTTTTAAACGAAATTACCACCATTATTTCCTCTGGGTTACTGAATTTGTAGTTTCTTATGTGGATCTGTCCGAGGCAGGGATTCCATTTTTTTCCCTTTCTTCTGAACATTATTGGTCATGCCTACAGCTATTTGTGCTACATAAAACTAGCATCCATCACATGTTACTTGTCTTGATATAGGTCGCTACTAAATTTAATGATTGGATATCATTTGGCATGGGGTTGGGCAGGCATGCAAGTTAACCAATTTATGAAGTCACTTACGCAAGCTGGCATATAGCTGTTCATCATGTTCTTCGGAGTAATGATTGAGGAATGTCACACGTGCAGTGCCCACATATCGAGGTACATCCTCGATATAGGGTTTGATGGTAGCTTGGGGTCTAGTTTAATTTTAACCCCATTTATAGTGTGTGCTGAGGGCCCTTGAAATTCAAGAGCTTTCTAAAGTGAAGAAATCAGAAAATAACTAGAACTTTAAAAAAATTTTCTAGTTTTGGTTGCTAATGTCAGGTTTGATGTACAGAGTAGAAAACGATAAAAGTGATAAAATCATTTTTTTCTTCTGTGCTTCCACCGTCCGTTTACACCCTCTTACGCTTTGGTTACTCCGCACTCTTTATTTTTTTGTTGGGTGAATCCTCTTTCTCAATTGCAGGGTATCAGAATCGAAGTCAAGCAAACCTTAAGGCAGCAATCCATTTGTTTTGACGTTGGCATCGAAGAAAATAAGGTGCTAGAGCTAAGTTTAGAACTGCTGAACAAACACTTACGAATTTCCTGTTCAGTTCAGTTCAGTCCCTTCGGGGAGCAATAATGTAACGTAGACGAATTATTTAGGAATTATTCAGCCCCTTTAGTTCACGTTTCTTCTAACAGAAGATGCATTTTTCTTTAATTTATAAATGACAAGGCCACACAATATTGCTCTTAAAAATACTAAAACTGTTTAGAATAATTAATAATTAGTAATATTATTAATATATTATTATTATTATTTAATAAATTAAAACCAGTTTATAAGTTCATATTTCTAACTATCATAATTGGTTGTTTAAAAAAAATGACAGTATTAATTAAATCAAACAAAATTTGTAAAGTGTTAATATTCTTATCCTGGCCATGACCGCACCCACCATTTGAGGGTTACCAGACCAAGGGTTTATGCAAGAACATGTTCTTCATACAAAGTATATCAAACTAAGTATTCATATGCCATAAGTTTTAAATATCTATTTAGCACATGAAACCCCACATGACAAAACAAATCAATATAACTTGTAGATTGGGCAGTGCGACTACCTTTATTTCTCACAAGAAAATTTTCCCACCTCATTTAAATGAATGATCAACTAGAACATAATCTCCTTTTTGTATTATTATTATTATTTTTTTAGAGAAAAAAAAAAGAAGGTATAAAAGCCATGAGAGTAAGCACTACCAGAGAAAACAGCAGGTAAAACCGAGCCAGATGTAGATGCTGGCATTACTTCTTTGCTAATGGTAGCGAGATTTCATCAACTGTAGTTTCCCAGTACATCCATAATGCCCTTCATTTTAATATATACCCCTATCATCAGCTGAAATATCTACCACAATCAGGTAATAAGGCAAAATTCTGAGCTCAACATTGGTAAAAGGTAGCGGCATTGCATACACTATTTATTGCGTTTGCAAGGAATGTAACATAATCTCCTCAATCGAACTCTCTCCTGCAAATGCAAGGCAGAAAAATGGAAAACATATTAGTAGATCGAAAGGCATTTATTATTAAGACTTTTTTTTTAATGAGCATTTGTTATTGAGATTAATATGCTGCCATTAACAAAACAAAAAAAAAAAAAAAGAGAAGAAGAAGAAGAAGAAAGAAAGAATAGCCAGCAAGTTGAAATACTTGCCTCAGTATTGTCATGATCATACCGAATCAAGAACACACATCTGCAGCCTCTTATATCATGCATTTTCTTCTCAATCTCTATGACACGTGCATCATAATAGATTGCTTGATCTCTCCTCTCCTAAAATTAAACAGAAAAAGAAAAATGAAAATATAGCAAAAAATTGGGAAAGGTCGCAGGTGAATTTCAGAAAGAGAAATGAATCTTAAATCACCTGCAAGCATAATACAAGATCTCCAACCTTCACCCTGTGGCATTCAGAATTTTCAAAGGGGACAGATCGTACTCGTACAGCCTTCTTTACATTAACCCACTCATCCTCGTCAGCCCCAAACCCAACAAATCTAACACGAACTTCCTTTAATAAACGATAAACTTTATCAAATAAGTTCATGAACTGAAGATTCACATGTCAAGAATGCTATTTTATGGAATTCTAGATCTCTCGTTCTAAAATCAGCCCATTACACCTTCTTTATTTGACTGTCATGCCACACAGTCTTATTACAATATCAAAGACACCAACATCAATTTCAAAGAATAAAACATTGATGCAAAAGTAATCTAAAAACTTACAGCTTCACCAGAACTAAGAAATCTGTGAGTGAGAAATGTTTCAACATCGTACCTGCATGTTAAGATCAAATTATACCAGGATAAGCATGCATAAAGTCACCTTATAGTTACAGGAACTTCCAGCTTTCCTTCACTTGAGGGGGTAAATAAGCAAGCAAACTGTCCAGGATGAAATGGGCATCATGGTGGTGATGTGATCTTTATAGTTATAGAATCATAACCAACTTCTTTTGAAAGATTTACAGTTAAACATTCGTAATGTTCATAAGCACCTTATTTGATAGATTCTTGTTCCTTTCTTGGTAGGTTACAAAGGTAATAAATTACCTTCCTTAGATGCCAAACGCTTGCATGCAATTTGCAACAATATTTCCAGTTCAAGACCTAGTTATTTTTCCATATTAGAATGTAATAGATGGTACCGGTAGCTTGATGGAAATGGAGATCAAATAGTTCTCTCATTTATCATTAAGATAAATTTGACACTGGATTCATATTAGCTTTGTAACATTCTATTGCTATAATGTTGTCTAAGTTCTAAGAGGAAGGTTATAATGAAACTGCAAAGAAGAGACACAGCCCAGACAAGGGCTGGTTTGATATAACAGTATAAAAGTCTGCTGTACTCTTACCATGCTCCATCTTTTGATGACCTAGCTTCAAATTCCAGTTCTGACAGATCTGGGATCCTATCTCCTTCTGCAGAAACAAGATAAAAATTTGTAGCCATAACATCAAATCTTGCTGGTTTACTTTAATAGAAAGTTATAAATTTTCTATACTATCTCGTATATCCAGGTCACTAAGCAAAAGCAGCTGAGAACAAGAAACCTACGTAAGAATTTTGCACTGATATATGAAAAACCTAGAGTGAAGCAAAAATATTAGTGAACTCATAAGTAAAACTAAATATCTGCAACTTCAGGCAACATTTTGTCCACGTGTAATAATTGATCAAATTTAGTGAAGATTAAGAATGTGCCACTGGAAAAATAAATGCTCTACCCGAGGGCAACTTTCAGGATTCAGATACTTACCTTTTGAAGCATTGGTCGATGACGCAACTCTGGGAGGGCCCTCTTGCTGCCTCTTTATGAACCAATTTTGCACCTAAGACATATTCACGACATGGTTAAGAAGACAAACAGCATAATCAATTACTAGCAATAAACAATAAAAGTCAAATGGGGAAAGAGAGTAAGGAAAAAGACCTCAGTCCATTTAACTATGGGTTTGCCAGCACGACCAGAGGAATGACTGCAAGGATATTAACAAATCTAAATTCAAACTAATGCATTTCATTTGCTTAAAAACCTTGAAAGAAACTAACAAGATGGAACTCACTTAAAACTTCTTGCAGTCTTTTTACAGAACTCATCATCCAGCACCTCTTCACCTGATTCTGTGAACAATTTCTCCATCTTCTCCAACTGCATGAAAAGGGGGTTAAGGAAGCGGTGGAATATGTTTTACAGTCCCTTTAGCATAATATATTTACACGAAAAAAAAAAACAGATCACCTTTAACAGGAACGAAGTAATTCCAAAAAATGGAAGCATTTAACTTGGAGAGAAAAGGACAGAATGTACATCATCCACACATACAATTTCAAGCAAGAGAGATCCTAATCTTAATACATATGCCGCAAACACGGCAAGGCAAATCCTACAACCATGCATATGCACAAATGGATTTGAGAATCAACTAGTGTAAAAAAAAAAAAAATGCCCTAATATGTCACGTTCATTAAAGATTAGCAAAAAAACCAACAATTAAGTCACACGCTCATAAAAAATGGAGGAATATAGTTCTATAAGTCAATGTACAGAGATTTTCATATTGGTATTTACATATCATAATTTCACAATCTCATTCTGAGAACAACCACCTGGCAGAATAAATAACTAAATTCAGCAGCTCATCATCTGCGATTGGCATTCACTCATCCAAATATAAATACATCATTCTATTAAACCCTTCAAAAACCCATTAGAACCACCAAAAAATGAAACAAATAATCATTCAAACATCACCTTGATACCTAACTGCAGAAACTATTTGATTCCCAGATGAATAAATTGTGCATAAAATAAAAAAAAAAGGATAAAAAGCTGAGAAAATTTTACCTCAGCCTTTGTGAATCCAGAGAAGACTGGTGGTCTATTTCTGGGACGGAGGCGGTCCATTAAACCAAAACCAAAAAAGTTGTAGACTTGATAACCTTTCTTAATTCTTTTTTCTGGGTACAAAAGAATGATGCTAAGAAATGGTTGAAGAAGAATCTCCTGATGAAATCAGAAACCCTAGAAATAACAGTTAGTGATAAAGGCAAATGCTTGGGATTGTTCGAAAAAGAATGAGGATATGTGCAGCCAAATCTTAATTTTTTATTGCATTCCTTCCTCTCAAACAATGAAACTTTGAAGCCAGGAAGTCCATTGTCTCCAGACACATACAGGTTTCACTGTGTCAGGAATATGAGAAGAATCTAGCATGGAGAGACTATTATATTTCTGAAATTTTACTGGGTTTTGGGCCTTGGGCTTTGTACTAGCTTTGAGTTGTCTGTCACCTCACCCTCTTGTTGGATTAGTCCATTTTAGTTTTTGCTTTTTTTGGGGGGTGTGGAATGCAATCTAAGAGTTTGAGAAATGTTTTTGTCTCAGCTATAATTAAAGTCCATAGGTAACTCTCTTTTATTTAGTTTTTGGTATTAAATTTTTTAGTATTTAAACGTTACATTAGATCTCTATTAATTTAGAGTATGTTCAGACCTTATAAAGAAAAAAGTTTTCGTAACGTTTGTTTTTTTATTTATAAGATTCGAAATCGATATCTTATTTAAGAAAAATTGAGTTTCTTTCACTTGGATCAAGATATCATTAGTCTCTCTTCTATTTATTTAATATTTGTGACTTGCGCATTTATTTAGAATTATTGTAAAGTGTTGTAATTATAATTTTTTAAGCATTTTAAAAATTAATAATTAAAAATAATAAATTTATATATTAATTTAAAAAAAAGGGTGGGGAAAAAAAAATCTATATGAAGTATGGTTAAAGGAAGTCTAAATAAATAAGTTTAGGGAACAACCGATTAAAAGTTAAAACGCCATACCATAAAAAGAAGAAAAAAATATATATATATCATGCCATCTCAACTATTGCCTAAAACATGCCATCTCTTAAACTTAAACCATCGCCCCAAAAGAAAGAGTTTTCTAGGTTAAATGCTAATTTTGGTCCTTCAACTTTAAAGGTTGCACAATTTTCATTCCTTATCTTTTTTATGCACTCTTTTGATCTCTTGATTATGAAAAATACATTTTTTTTAGTCTTTCCATCAGTTAGTCTATTAAATTTGTTTAAATATATACATTTTTAGTCAAGATCTTAAGTTCAAGTATGAAAACTGTGCATATATTAAAAGTTAAAGGACTAAAAATGCATAAATTTAAATAAACTTAACAGACTAACTGATGGAATGATTAAAAAGTATACTTTTTAAAAGTAAAAAAACAAAAAGGGCCTAAAAAAAATTAAAGGATGAAAAATATATAAAACTTTAAAGTCGATGAGACTTTAGAGTAATGATACAAAAATAATTTTAATTTTTATAAGCTTTTTATATAATTTTTATATATTATAGGTATCATAAGTTTTAATAGAGTAAAAAAAATAAATTATTAAACGATATATAAAGTTGTATAAAAATATATATATATAAATTGTTTTACAATCATTTTTTTTAGACTTTATTAAGTAAAATTCCTCAATATTCTTCTCAACTACAGAAATTTTGAATGAGGTAGTGGTAAAGCACTATTTGACTTGATCACCAACACAATGATTTCGCAATTTCATACCTTGAGAATATATTGTAATGCAGGTCAAAATTTTCTGTTGCTAGAAATTGAATATATGGACCTTATTCTTATTAAATGAAAATGGAATGTATATACATATATATATATATATATATATATATGATCGTGGGAGTTAAAGCCACATGAAGAATATATTTGCACAAAAGTAAACTTTCCTACTGAGGATGTATCTACTTGATTGTTCTTGTTATATATACAACTAATTATCCAAATCTCATCTATGTGTCTCCCTCCATCATTGAAATTGAAGGAGAAGAAGAAAACTAACAGATTGTTTCAAAAAGTCTTCTGCATGCTTCATTTGAAACAAATTGATGTAATCTATATATATGTAGGCCGTGACTAGACCCACCACCGGTCCACCACGAACATAGACATGCAATGCAAAAGTCTTCAGATATCATGATTTTCATCTAATTAGAAAACGTATATGGTTTGTTTGAGAACACGTAATAAAACTTTTAATTTTGAATTTATTAGTAAGTAATGTCATTTTAGGTATCAAGTTTAATGTCGAAAATTTTAAAATTAATATTAAAAAAAATTAATTTTTTAATATATTAGACTAATTTGAGTTACGTCTTTAAAATTACTTTAAAAATAATTAGTTACAAAATATGTGTAAAAATTAATTTAAAACATTTTAATAGTAATAATAATAATAATTATTATTATTAGTAATAAATAAGATGAATACAGGGCATAGTTTTGGGTCAATAGTCTGCAAATTTTTCATGCTTTTGGCGTAAAATTAAATGACATGTCCTGGTCCTGGTCTAACATAGCTATATCTTTATTTTGTACATTCAATGCTAAGACTTTGAAGATGATGAACGTTCATTAAAAATTAAAATATATAGTTACACCTTCACCAGTCTTTACATGATCTTCACGCCTTCACGAGCCAATTTGGACTCACCTAAACAGTAAGACCATCTAAAATGGGAACCAAAAAAAAAAAAAAACTTAATTTGATATCGAATTATTATAATCATAATTAATATTATTTTATATATTTAAATTGTAAATAAAATATTTAGTAAAATATATTATCTTTAATATATATAATTTTTAAAAATTATAATAATATTATTTTATTTAATTCATAATTTATAAATTAAAAAATTAAATTGAAATTGAAATTAAAAAAAAAAAAAGAAAAAAAAGAAAAGAAAAAGGCACTTCGATCCAATGGTTGAAACTAAAAGTTATTTTAAAAAAATATTTAACTTATGT